GGGAGCGGGGGGGACCAAACCGAACCAACCCCGCACCGACCAAAAAACCACCCCAAACCACCAAGAAAACAGAAAGTACCGTGACTGCAGTTCTGCAGTTCTGCCCTCCTGGTTTCAATTTTTTTTTCTTACGAGACAGACCACCACAGAGGGATCCCTAGTATATTTGATTTCCGCTGAAGTTTTAACGGCACAGCTACTCCCTACCGCGAGGAGTTTCACCGGGAAGCTGAAGGCCTGAGGTGAACAAAGCTGCACCCAGTGGACAGGTTGTGTTTCTACCGAATTTTAACTTAAAACGGGAGCACGGCTCTCCGTGCTGTAACAGCAAACGTACAGCTCTCTAAGCTGGTGTTAACGTGGGCGTAGAGGGGCCGCCACCAGCTCTCCCGAAGACAGCTCTGCGACACTGTGCCGTGACACCACTTGCCTTCTTATACCCGGGATTCCCTCCAGCGACAGCCTGTGCCAGTGAAGTAGAGCATTTTGTAAATACCGGTTTCAAGATTGCACTGTAACGCCTCCCCGCAGTTCAGATCTATCAGAAGTTTTACGGACTGGGTCTGATGTGCCCACAGCCCTGGTCACTTCTACCGGTGTTAATCAACTACAGATGACATTACCGCCTTTCCCCTCTGCAGCAGGAGCTGTCAGTGTCCTGTCACAGCTGATAAAAGTTTTATATTTACAGTGAGCTATTTCAAACAAAAGGTGTTTTTCTGTTAGAACACTGCGCGCTGACTACCGCATGCCACCAGCACGCCGTGCCCAGCTCCCCTTCTTGACTGAAAGACGCATTTACACAGTTTGCTGTATGTTCGCAAAGAGCAAGACTTAAAGAAGTTTCTCTTTAGTCTGTATTTACCTATTCAACAGTTACAATAGACACTGAAGAGAGTTCATTTTAAAACAGTAAACTTTTAAAATGCATTAACACAGGTTTTAGCTTTTTAAAGAAAAAAGTTCAGTTTAAAAAAAAAGAGGGAGAGGTCATAGAAAAGCACAAACAATTCAGACAGGCTTATTTACAGAGACCAACCTAGCATATTCAAGGTGATTTTGTATACAGACCACAACATTCATAAAACCAAACGTGCTACATGGCTCCATGACAACAGCAGTTTTTAGAACAATCAGCTGTTAAGGTGACACACACCTTAACTCATTTTCTACAGTCTCAGTGCAACGAGTTGAAGTTTAAACTACAGCTAAATAACTGAACTACAAATTTATATATTCCAGACCCCTATTCAACAGATAATCTGGTATATGCAGCCAAAAAAAACAAACGGATTCAATGAGACAATGGGATCACCACCTGCAGTGATTTTGGGCATGCACCCTCAGCTATGATCATTCTTACTCAGCTAATTGTCCTCCTTCCACAAGGATCAGTAGTAACAAGCCTCCAAGAAGTGCAAGCTTTCAGAACTGCCTTTCATACTTGCTGTAGCCACAAATTAATGATCAGTGAAACTAACACACAATTACAGAAGCGCTATCACGCATTACAACTCTGCTGTTTCTCAAGTAGGGGCATGTATTCACAGGGCCTCTTAGTGTGGTGAAGACACTTAGGTCAGGATCCTTTCATGTAAGATCAGCTGCAGAACCCTAGTCAGCACAGCAAGAGACACACAAACCCACAGCAGTTGCTAGAGTGACATTTTCACTTCATCAGGGAGCCAATAAAAAAAGCCAGTGAGCAATACAACTTCTATTGTCTTAATTATACGTTAATTCTCAAAACTGTTCCCAAGGAAATCTTTTACAAGAGTGAACAGCAGTTAAGTCTTCATTCATTTTTCTTTTCCTTGTGCTTGAGAAGTTTGTTTATCTCCCTTTTCGCCATTCCAACATACTTTGTAATGATCCCATGCTGGTTTAGTCCAGGAAACAGCAACAAGAAACTTACTAGAGAAGAAAAAAAAAGGAATTACTTAACACTCCTTTAACAAGCTTCTGTTACCTTGCAATTCTTTGCTTCCCTTAAGCCCCATTAACTGCTTGAAAACAGAAAAATATAACCAGCAACAAAAAAAAAATCACCACACATAATCAAAAATTGCTTCTACCAGCCTCATACCATTTCAGGCAGCTAACAAAAAAGTTACTTCTGTTTTGTATGCTGCACACTTACCAATAAGATAGGTCAGAAAGAGATTGTGAACTTGCTGTCCAATCCAGGCAACCACAGCAAGAGAAAAAATCATGGTCATGAAGTACTGAAAAATGGAAAGGGAATAGTTATCACCCATCTGTTGGGAATTCTCCCCATTCCCTTCAGTATCTGGCAACAATTCAACATTTAAAACTAACTTCAAGTTGGCTGGCTCTTCCACATGCAATACCTATGCATAGGCTTGTTACAACTGAGATTAGAGTCTACAATTGTATGTTCCCATTTATTTTCAGACCATCAGTTTTACAGGATGCCAGTTCTTTTCTGTCCAGATATCCCTTAGTCAGACTACACCATCCCCACTGACACGACTTCAGCCTCACACAGCACCTGAAAGCTGTTTTCAGGACAGTAAACCCAGTAGTTCATGTACCTAACCTGACACATTGCTAAGATCTAGTTTTTTGGACAGTTCCTGTACACTGGAAACAAGCTGTGTTTCCAAAAATTGACCTATCCAAATAAGACAAAGTGAAGCTGGGTTTCTATCAAGGGTATGCTCCTAACTGCACAGTATTGCAAGTTTAAAGTCGTGTATCTTGCCGCTCCAGGTTTGAATAAGATGTGTGACTGGCATTAAATCACAGCCAGAACTGCTGGTTCTTGGTTTGAAATACCAGTTTACTCAGACATGTGCCTTGCTAAAGTACTTAAGACAAACAAAACAAATAGAACCTCAAGACAATAGAGATGAACTCCTAGAACTCAGTACCATTTTAGGCTTCTCTTCCTTCAGTGTGAAGAGACGTTTCCACCAGCCAACAATTCGGCGACGAGATTTTACCAAATTGCTGCAGATCTCATGAAATCTTTGCTGCTGTTCCGTAGTCCTTTTATTAAAGAAAAAAGTCAGAAATAAGAATTAAAGATTTCATCTGAAATTTTAGAAATCTCCCACGGTCGTTTTCCAGCAGTAAAAATTTATCCAATACTTACCCTGGCATTTGCTTCACTTAGTTTTATACCTTATCTTTATTGAGCGCTGTAATGCAACTGCCCCTGTAACTTTTCTGTACACTGACTGTCTTAAATTGACTCCCAAAGAGCAACCACATTCAAACCAGGAGACCACTGATTTTCATCTGATACCAGTGGGATACACACAAGTAATATACACCTGATCCCAGTGTGTATTATTTTGGCTTTTATGTTGGTTCATTATTAGACAAGAACATTTATC